TAGCTCCATTTTTGTTTGTCAGAGAATGGCTTTATTCCTCCTTCATTTTTGAAGGAAATTTTGTTGAATATAGAATTCTTGGTTGGTAGCTTTTTTCTTTCAACACTTTATTTATGACACACTATTTTTGCTTGCATGATTTCTGGAGCAAAATCTGGAGTAATTCTTACCAATGTTCGACTCTGGGTAAGGTGCTCCCACCCATCTTTCCTTTTTGGTTTCTTTCAAGATTTTCTTTTTGTCTTTGGGGGGTTTTTTTTGTTTTTGTTTTTGTTTTGTAGTTTCAATATATGCCTAGATGTAAATTATTTGGTATTTATTTTGCTTAATTGGTGTTCCCTGAGTTACCTGGATCTGTGGTTTGCTGGCTGTCATTAATTCCGTCAAGTTCACAAATATCCCTTCCACTCTGCTTTCTTCTCTCTCTTTTTCCTTCTGATATTTCTATTACACATATATTATACATATTTGAAAACTCTCCCAAAGTCTGTGGATATTCTGATTTTTGTTTCTGTTTTTCTATCTTTACCTTATAGTTTGGCAAATAGGGCTTCCCTTGTGGCCTAGTTAGTAAAGAATCCGCCTGCAATGCGGGAGACCTGGGTTCAATCCCTGGGTTGGGAAGATCCCCTGGAGAAGGGAAAGGCTACCCGACTCTGGAGAATTCCATGAACTGTATAGTCCATGGGGTCGCAAAGAGTCGGACAGGACTGAGCAACTTTCACACTTTCACTTTCCCAATAGTTTGGGAAGTTTCTATTGACATGTTTTCAATTTCATTGAAATTCTTTTCTCACTCATGTCCAGTCTGTCAAAGAGCCCATCAAAGGTATTTCTCATTTTTGTTACAGTGTTTTTCATTTCTGGAACTTCCTTTTGCATCTTAGAATTTCTTCCCTGCTTACAGTACCCACCTGTTTTTGCATGCTGTCTTCTTCAATTAAACTGAAAATATGTCAATAACAACAGTGGCCGTAATCAAACAAAAATGTTCACTGGCGAATGAATGAATGAGGAAGTGAGGAACATCATGAGCCTAAGAGTGAATGAATGAAGTAACTCGGCACGATGATTAATACGATAAGAAAACGACTCTCCAGACATCATAGAGATCTGGGACCTTTACCAATATCAGACTCTTAAGTTCCAATGGGGCAGTGACATAACTGGTCTTACTCACAAATTAACACATGTATTAATAGTACATTTCAAGAAACTTCTTCATTTTGGTGGACTGACCCATCAGAGGCATTCCCTTCGAGAACAAGCAGCGCTCCTCTGAAAATTGACAGTGGTTCTCTTCCTCAGCCTATGACTTTCTTTTCTCTACAACGCCATCTTACCCCCATCCCACCTCCCCTTCCTGGAATACATATTTATTATCACAAGCACCGTTCTTCACCTCACATGCCCACCTTATCCTTCCCTAACTCTGATTAACATATAAGCAGAGAAGTATTGTATGCGCGTGTGCGTGCTAAGATGTTTCAGTCATGTCCAGGACTCTCTGCGACCCTGTGGACTATGGACCACCAGGCTCCTGTCCTTGGGATTCTCCAGGCAGAATTCTGAAGTGGGTTGCCATGCCCTCCTCCAGGGGATCTTCCCCAGCCAGGAATCAAACCTGTGTCTCTTGCGTCTCCTGCATTGGCAGGTGGGTTCTTTACCACTGGCAGTACCTGTGAAGCTCCAAGGAGTTATTGTTTGGGGCCTATTTGAATTAAGATCCTGCACTGTCACCATTGGAAGGGGCTTAGCAATCATCTCCTTTCAGAGGTGAGAATAAGAAAGTGTAAGCACGTGATCCAGGGCCATCACACAGACAGGCTAGAGGCCACTTCTCTTGCCTCCAGCCCAGCGCTCAGGTGCCCAGAGCACTGTCGTTTCCATACTTGTCTTCATGTATTCATGTTGGCCCCATCACGGCAAGAATGTTAACTCAATGGTAAACTCACCATCAACCATATTATTGGCCCTTCGTTTTGCTTTGTTTTCGTCAATAGTCCATGTAACATTTAGAAGAAAACACGCAAAACGCCTGACATGAGAAGCTCGCCATCACCACCTTCTGGCCCACCGCTGCCAATGAAGCCAAACACAGTTCACTGTGGTCGCAGATATGAAAACTGATCATGGGCCACCGGGCTTTTAGTACTGCCCATTCATTCCCCACTCCCACCCCACTCCCCGCACTGAAAGGCTGAGTTGTGGTGTGAACTCAGAAGATGTTGAATTTGAAACCCTGTGTTAAGAAAAAAAAAAAATCACAGAACCTGGACTTTAATCATAAAGATCATTTTACCAAAGCATATTTTTAAAAGGCTGTGAAACATTATGCAACGTTTGCATGGTTTAATTATGAGTTTAGAAAAGCCTAGCACAACTTTTTCACTACAGTAAAACATGACAGAGCATGCATCATGGCATAATACTTTATGCTTACTGTGGTTTTAGACGTGGGGTTAGGGGTGCTGGGCTGTCTACACAACAGGGCATGAATTACTGTACCGCAATTCACACCCAGAGGGCTTTATGACAATTATAAAACCTCTTTTGTTTGCTTTTTAAATGATTAAAATATTTGAGTACCATATATATTCACTTAGTAAATACGTATATATCCAGGACATACACATGGCTTAATAGAAAATATCTGAGGGTGTAATTTTTATTTTCACTTAAAGCAAAATCCTTGTAGCAATATGGGAATATCAAACAATCTGCTGTTGCTATTTGCTTTCAATTACTGGAAGCACTGTTTGCTCTAAGATTAAGCAGGATCTTCGACTGTGGTTGAGCACGTATTTTCCACTGAGCCTGGAGTGGACTGGTACTTTATTCCTTGCCATCCCCTCAGATTCTCTCAAATTCAGATGGAAATAAAGACCTTTCTTTAACATTAGGTTTCAAAGATTCTAAATTATTTCCCCAGGTTTTTCAACATTCAAAATTAAAAGGTCAGGATTTTTCTTTTTAATTTTAATTGGAGGATAATTGCCTTGCAGGGTTGTGTTGGTTTCTGCCACATGACAGTGTGGATCAGCCCTAAGCACACTGTCTCCCACCCTCCGCCCCATCCCACCCAGCCGGCTGTTACAGAGCGCTCAGCTCAGCCCCTTGCGTTGCACAGCAGCTTCGCACGGGCTGTGTGTTTTACATGTGGTGATGGATGCATTTCAGCTCTTTCTCAGTCCATCCCACCCTCTCCTCCCCCTGCTGTGTCCACAGATCCGTTCTCTGCGTGTCTCTATTCCTGCCCTATAAATAGGGTCCATCAGTGCCATTTTTTCTGGATCCCATATATACGCGTTATTAATACAATGCTTCTGACTTCCTTCACTCTGGCTGTAGCTCATCCACCTCACGAGAACGGATCAGATTCGTTCTAGGCCAGTTACTTCAAAGAACAGAAAGAAGTCGATCAGTATGAGAGGAACTGGGGCGAGGGCTGTTAGGAGAAGAGTAAGGATAAGAAAGTAGACTCGAGTCCCCAGATGCCTGATTCTGTCCTCCACTGTGATGGTTTCAAAGGCATTCAAGACAAGGGAAAGGTTAACTGCTGCAAGTGAAAAGCCCCAGCATTCTGCTCCCCCAGCAAGTGAGGGAGCCGAGATAGACACTGTTTAATGAGAAGGAATAACTCATTTCTTTATGTCACGACACACACAGAACTTAACAGCTGGTATTTCCCTCAGGAACTTTGCTCTTTCTGTATTTACTCCCAGCACCCTGAACCCGCGGCTATGAAGACCCCTGGGAGTTAGTGTTGTTTGCTGTCACCTTTGTCCACAAAGAAGGTGGGACGCAATGAGAAAACTAATGTTTAATCCTAAGACAGAATGTAAAGCTCTCCCGTGGTGGGACAGTGGTCAGTTTTATACTTTTCTTACACATTTGATCTAAGAATAGAAGGCATTTTTTTTTCTCCTCCCTTTCATCTGCAAACAGTATGATGCTTTTGAAAACTAATATGTCTATGAATGCTGGAGTCAAATTTACAAAATCCTTTTTACCTAAACCTTCTGAAGTCAGATTTTTGTCTCTTTTCTATCCCAGGAAGGCCTCTTTTAATGGCAGTCTATAAAACACTTGCTCAACATTCTGCCCTTTAAAAGTTGCAAACTTGAGGTCTTAACAAAAAAAAAAAAAAAATACAAGACATCTATGTTAGTCTGGGATGACAGAACCAGCTCTGCACTGCCGGGTTTGTGAAACAGTGATCAGGCCTTGCTGCCAGTTTCCCAGTCAGACTTTCTTATCAATTATCCCTGGGACAGAGATCACCTGTACAGAAAACATTAAACAGCCATAGAATAGTTTTGTCTAAGGTACCAAAAAAGACCCAAACCCTTGCATTCTTTTTGCTTCCTGAGTACAGAGATGGGTGATGACCTGATAATGATAACTGTAATTATTGGTAAGCCTGGGCAGTCCGTATGTGCAGCAGATCAACAGTTTGAATATTAACACTTCCACCTAGAAAGCATAACCAGCTCCTCTCATCATTGTGTGTGGGTGCTTAGTTACTCAGTCATGTCCGACTCTTAGTGACCCTGTGGACTGCAGCCCACCAGGCTCATCTGTCCATGGGATTCTCCAGGCAAGAATACTGGAGTGGGTTGCCATGCCCTCCTCCAGGGTATCTGCCTGACCCAGGGATGGAACCCACATCTCCTGCATCTCCCAGCACTGGCAGGCAGATTCTTTACCACTGAGCTACCTGGGATAGTGAGGTTACGTAAAACCTTTGAAGGAATAGTTAGCAGAGGAAAATCTTCAAAAGTTAAACATAAATTATGTATCAGTATCATTTGGTGGGGGGTAAGTCATCACAAAAGCAAATACTTGGGACTTAAGGAAGTTTACTAGACACTGGTAAGTAGGCCACAAACATATCTAAGAGTTCAACAAAGGTAGCTGAGTTTTTTTTTTTACTAAATGTTTTCATTTTTCAAGTCCTGCCCCCTCCATGCATCACTGACCTCCCCGATTCTCTGCAGATACGAGGCAGATCCAGCCATCCCCACCATGGTCCTACGATCAGTCCTACCAGTACCTGGGATCCATCGCCTCTCCCTCTGTCCACCCAGCCACACCCATCTCACCTGGGCGGGCCAGCGGTATGACGACCCTCTCAGCCGAGCTTTCCAGTCGACTTTCAAGTAAGATGCTTAAAAATACACTCTTTGAAGTCTGGCTGCCGTGGAAGTTTCTGGAGGCCAGACAAGATGCATGAAGCGGGGGCAGGGAGGGGCAGTCATTTTTAATTGGACACAATGCTGTCTGTCTCTTAAGTCTCACACCCATGCACTGATTTTCCTTGACACTCAGAGGCAGAGACTGTGGATGTGGAGGTAGGAGTGACTTGGAAAAAGTGGATTCCTTGGGCCTTTTGGGGTGCTCACCTTTATTTGGCAAGCAAGGGTGGGAGCTGAAGGGTCAATCATAGAAAAGGCACAAGTAGTCAGCTTCTGAAGTTCAGATGGGATGATCCATGCTGTGGTGGCCAGCTCACACAGGTCACGTGAATGGCACGCTGGGCACACGTGCAACGGGACGCAGACCTACCCCAGTGGGACACTTCCAGCTACGAGCTGCTCACACCACGCCAGAGGAGCAGCCTGGAGAGCTCAGGTGTCGTGGCTGGCATGACTGTTGTTAATACGAGCTCATTAAATATTAGTCATTTAACCTATGGGACCTTTGGGCTTGGCACTCACCTTTGCTTGTGGGCAGGGAAACTGGAGTTACAGAGAAAAATTCCTTTGTTGAAAGCAAAAAGAAGCAACTCCCTGTTTGGGGCTTTGAAATTGGAGATGGACCAAACTGTGAAAACACTTCAGAGAACTTCGGGTTTAGGCGGCCTGCGAACACACTCCCTGTGTCTTGGGGGTGGGGGGGAAGGGTGGCTGTTCTTGCTTTTTGAGTCCTGGGATCAGATTATATCAGATTAAGGGGGCAGACAAAGGGGCAAAGGCATCACGTCTGTCATTTTCAAGTGCTGTGAGATGTTGTGTTCTGCGGACAACTGTGATTACTTGAGGTTTCCACCAAATGCTTTAGCTTCTTCTCAAGAGCTGCACAGAATACCGCTCCAGTTCTCAACAGCAGCACTGCTGACACTTGGGGCCGGATAATTCTTCACTGTGGCGGGCAGCGCTGTGCAATGTCAGGCCTTCATCAGTGTCTCTGGCCTCTAGATGCCAGCAGTAACCCCCCGCCCCCAGTCATGACAACCAAAAATGACCAGATGCTGCCAGATGTCCCGAGGGCTGACACCGTCCCCCGGTTGAGAACTGTCTTCACTTGTTCTTGGGCGTGATAGTGAAATAGGGAAGCCAGCTTACTTGCCCAGTTTCCACATTATTTTCGGCCACTGGTGCCAAGAATTTCATGGCACCTGCTGGGCCCAGGAGTTAAGGGACTGGTGCAGGAATCGTGAAGTCCCCTGGCATGCTGCTGCAGCAGCTCCGTTCCCTTGGGATTGGCTGTCTTTTATTGTTTCTTCTTCTTGGTGGCACTACTCTGCTGGCTATGGCCTACATCTGAAGCAATGACTGTTTTCCTTGGAAGTGTCCCTGCTGCGGGTCTTGTCCCTTGGAACGTATGTCACAAGTCTTCTGACTTGGTCAGCACCCAGGATCTCCAGCACCTTATCCCTTGGGGCCAGCTGTTCTGCTGACCAGTTCAGAGGGGAGGGGGACTTCTTTTCTTCTTTCCCTATAGGAATGAGTTAACATGCGCCCTCCCCTGTCCTGTCTCACGGTTATACTTCTGAATAGCCTGGACTTCAATTAGCCAGGGAGCCGTGGAAGGGCGTTTTACTGCCCCAGGGTGTGAAGGAGATAAAAGCCAGGTCCCATTTCGGCACTCAAGCCTAACCCTGCGCTGTCCTGGAGGGTGGACCCAGGAGAATTCCAGGGGAGCTTTCACCAGTGCAGCAAAGAACAGCATGATGGGAGGCTGCTCTTCAACTTGGCACATCTCCCTTTGAGAAATGGAGCCCAGAGTCCAGGCCTGAAGAGTGTCACCTTCCGCCTGGAGGCAGGAGGGGCTTGGGATAGTTAAAAGAGGCTGCTTTTGCTTTTTTTTTTAATGCCAAATCAAGTGTTATTCTTTTCTTTTTCTGTTCATTTGTTTTGTCACTTTATTTTTTTAATTGAAGGATAACTGCTTTACCAAATTGTGTGGTTTTTCCGTCCTACATTAAGAATCAGCCATAGGTCTACCCATCAATGCTTTGAGAGCCTGTCACAGTTCGGAGCCCACTTTCCTTGAACCCTGCCCCCAGCTAGCTTGGAGCGAGCGCCCCAGCCTCACCTGAGCTTCCTTCTGCAGGAGGGACCTGCGTTCTGTGTCTTTCTTTGCTTTGCAGACAGACTCCACACCTTGTCTGAAAAGAGTTGTCATCTGGAGGTTTTTTTTCTTTTCTTTTCTTTTTAAATAATGTTTAGCTGCCAACCTGGGCGACAGACAGCAAGCATTAATCTGAGTCATGTGAAAGATCCTTTTAAGGCAGCCATTATCTGCTCAGGCTGTTTAATCCTTTGGGGGCAGTGGGAGGGGCCCGGCATAGGGCTGCTTTCATCCACGTCAAGCTGCAGAAGGAAGACTTTTAGCTGTCATGGCAAATATTTAGCCCCATCAGTGGGGCAACATTTCCAACTCAAATACCTATACTGCCTAATCCCCAGATACCCTCCTCCTGTAAAAGCTCCCTGTGAATGTCAGAGGTCCCCACTTCTGCCCACACTGCTCTTAAATAAGGGGGTGCCAGGCCAGCTGAAAGGACAAATGAGCTAAGGCTGGGGGCGCAGTGAACTGTCCATGACTGGTGGGGCTTGCTTGGGTAGGGGGTGTCAGGCTGGACATAAAAATGAGAACAAGTATTTGAATAGGTCATTTGAATCTGAGCCTAACTCATGGGCCGAGGTTGTTTCATCATCACAGTGTGTGTTGTAAAGGATAAACTGGCAAGTTGGATGGTCTTTCGTAGTGTGACACTGGTTCTCTGGGCAGAAGAAGAACCGCAAGCAGCATCTAAGAGCTTTCAGACATTCTGCCCACAAGTGAGAGAACTGTTTTCCCCTGACAGCTGAGACCGTAACATCATTCCATTACTTGTCCGTGACAAATCACGGGCTCACTCGGGATTCCGGTAACTTGCTGCCATCACCAGGTTACCACACAGTAGTTGGAACAGACTGGCGGAGCATGTCCAGACACCGTCGTGAAACAGGGTGACCTTTCATTCATTTTCCAGTGGATTCACCTTTTTGTCTCAGGGCAAATGAAGCAAGAGGAATCATGGGTGGAGTCATTTATTTGTGTCCGGAGTATTGCATCAGATGACAACAAATTGATTGTGTTTGCCTAATGCTTCTCCCTGACTATAGAAATCTAACTGGAAAAATGGAGTAAAGCTTCCTGTTAACTCTCAAGCATGTCACAGCTCTCTGTGCGAACACAAACAAGTGACACAGGGCTTGCTCACAGATGGCCCCAGCGGGCAGGGACAAACCCTGTGGAATGGGGTGCGGCCTGGCTTCAGGATGAGTGAGAGAGTGTCCGTGGAAGGGCGGCCCGAGAGCCGCTGTCAGCTTACAGCCTTGTCCCTACCCACATGTCTGACTCGCTTTGAAAAGATTAACAGGACTGTTTGTTTGAAAGTCAGACTTCTGGTTTCCTCATTAGTGGAGAGATTTGCTGCAGACTTCGGTTGTTTCTATAAACTTTAATTACCTCTCTGATGAGGAGTATATCCCCTCATCACAGGCACCCCAAAGTTAGAGAGTGCATGGGGGGGGGGCGGGGGAAAGAGAGAGAGAGACAGAGAGAGAGAAACACTAGCTCTCCCTGCTGGAATAATAGGCTTGAAATATGAGGAAGTTGATCAACAGCCGAAGCCGTCCAAAAACAGATTAATCCACCCCGGTAGCTTTCCTTTCAGAGCAAGCTTTTGGCTCTGTCAGGCTTCTCTGTGGGCCTAAACACAAAAGGACCCAGGCCACATGCCATCTTGAGCCTGGAGTTATTTCGTATGTTGATTTGAGAACTTATAAATTTTAAAACATTCAGTTCTTGCGTCTGCTCTGCTTTGCTGATGCCTTTTGGGTTTGCTGACGTAAAGACTGCAGTCCTGGCCTGGTCACTTAATGAATAATTCTGAGGAACAGAAACTCCCCGAGGACACCATCCTACATCGACAGTAGGAATGTTGTCTCAGCGGAAGGGCACTTTTGCCCCCACTCTCACCCCTACCCCCAGGACATCTGGAAGGTCAGGACCTTGTTGGTTGTTACAGTGAGGGGAGTGAGGGCACTACCATCTGATGGGCATGACCCAAGGATGCTGCCAAACATGCTACCACGCACAGGACAGGCCCACACCACCCCATAAGGCTGGCCCCCAATGTCAGCAGTGCCACTGCTGGGAAACTGATCTATGGGATACAGGAAACCCGTCTTGGCACCCAAACCCCACCCCAAAATTTCCCAAGGGCAGCCTGTGATTAAGGGAAAGGCAGAAGGATGCAATGAAAGACTGCCAAAGCCCGTCTGTGAAAGGGTAAATGCATAATCCTAACAAAATGAGTTTTATAGACCAAGCTTTGCCATTGCTGGTAGAATGTCAACATGTATAAAAATGGAGTAGGTAAGTCAAGGCCCTTTGGCCATTCCTGTTAACAAATAAATGGTGCATATTAGAGAAAAGCATGTGAAATTGAGGCTGTACTGTTTCTAAAAATGTAGAACTAGTCTGAAGGTAGATGTGAAGGAGAAAGAGGTTGGTGGTTCATAGACATCCACTCCCAGCCACTACTCTGGCATGCGTTAGCTTCAATAATAGGAAACTGCCTATTTTTATCTATTGCAGGCCTATAGAAATGGCAGATTTCTAGGATTCAATCTAAATATTATGTATAACATATTAAAATGTTATTACATATTATGACAGTATCATATTATGTATACGTGCATGGTAAGTCTCTTCAGTTGTATCCGACTCTTTGTGACCCTACAGACTGTAGCCCTGCCAGGCTCCTCTGTCCATGGGATTTTCCAGGCAAGAATACTGGAGTGGATTGCCAAGCCTTTCCCCAGGGGATCTTCCCGGCCCAGGGATCGAACCCATGTCTCATGTCTCCTGCACTGGCAGGCGGGTTCTTTACCACTAGCACCACCTGGGAAGCTCTCTGGGGGTTATATATACTTATATATATTCTATTAATATTAATCTATTAATACATCTATTATATTAGTAGTTCGTCTAGTGTTATATTGTTGTGTCATATATTGTTATAAGACATTAATACTGACATATTAATATATTGATTATATAGAGAGGTGGCAAACTTTTTTTCTGCAAAGGGCCAGATAGTAAATACTTCAGACTTTCTGAGCCCTCCAGTCTGGCCCTCCAGTCTCTGCCATGACCATTCTGAAGTGGTGACTTAAAAAGTAGTCATAGTTAATACATAAAAGAACAAGCGAGGCTCCTTTCAATAAAACTTTATTTATGAACACTGAAATTTAAATTTCATATCATTTTCAAGTCAGGAAAAAGTCTTTTGATTTTTTTTTTCCCCCCGACCATTTAGAAAAGTAAAAAGTGCACTCTTAGACTGGGGGCATACAAAAACTGGTAGCAGGTGAATCTGGCAGGTGGGTGTACCAACCTCAGTTATAGGAATATTTGTTTATATTAAGTCAGTTATATCTAATATGTTTATATTAAGCAAGTATAACTACATATTACATTATATTACAACCTTATTATATTGCATGAGATCACATATTACCTTGGAGAAGGAAATGACAGCCCACTCCAGTGTTCTTGCCTGGAGAATTCCATGGACGGAGGAGCCTGGAGGGCTGCAGTCCATGGGGTCACAAAGAGTAGGACACGACTGAGTGACTAACCCGCTCACTCATATATCATCATCTTCATTATACCCGCTCCCTGGACGGCAGCAGCATTATGGGAAATTCTCCTAGGCGCCGGTGGGGTGAGGGAAGGGGCGTGGCCTCCCTGAATCCTAATCTCACGATATTTCTTGCCCACCATGCAGCTGCGCCCGACCTGACGGCCTTCGGCGACCCGCGCCAGTTCCCGGCACTGCCCTCCATCTCCGACCCCCGCATGCACTACCCCGGCGCCTTCACCTACTCCCCAACGCCCGTCACGTCGGGCATCGGCATCGGCATGTCAGCCATGGGCTCGGCCACACGCTACCACACATACCTGCCACCGCCTTACCCGGGCTCGTCGCAGGCGCAGGGTGGCCCGTTCCAGGCCAGCTCGCCATCCTACCACCTGTACTACGGCGCGTCGGCCGGCTCCTACCAGTTCTCCATGGTGAGCGGCGAGCGATCGCCGCCACGCATCCTGCCGCCCTGCACCAACGCGTCCACCGGCTCGGCGCTGCTCAACCCCAGCCTCCCGAACCAGAGCGACGTGGTGGAGGCCGAGGGCAGCCACAGCAACTCCCCCACCAACATGGCGCCCGCCGCGCGCCTTGAGGAGGCCGTGTGGCGGCCCTACTGAGTGAGGCTGTGCACGCGCACTCCGTGCCGCTGGACGTCGTCCCGGAAGCGCCCGTCGGGGGCCCAGCGTCGCGTTGTGGAGAAGCCCGTGAGGGCCCCACGGGGGCTGCTCGCCCCCTGCCAACTGCCTGCGGTCGCCATCTCTCGCTTCTGAAGTCCGTGCAGTTCGCCGCCGCTGTGGGCCCGTCTCAGATTTTTTTCTTCTAACCTGACGCAACTTGAGGGTGTCCGCTTCAGCGCCCTGTGGACACGTCGTTAAGGCAAACAGGAAGATTCCCAGAGGGAAACTGTGAATGCTTCTGATTTAGCAATGCTGTGAATAAAAGAAAGATTTTATAACCTTGACTTCACTTTTTAACCAAGTCGTTTATTCCAAAGAGTATGGAACTTGGGGTTTTCTTTGTGGGGGGAGGGCGGGGCGGGCAGAGATGCAACTCATTCTGTTTGGCATCTAATTCATATTTTTAATTTTCTTTTCCAGCACCTTATAAATTGCAAAATGTGTATTTGCATTTGGGGTGGTTTTTTTATTTTTATATATATATAAATTTGAGCTTTGCTTCTTTCTTGCTTTGACAAATGAAAGAAATATGATTCCTTTTTCTGTAAGTTTTATTTAACTTTTCTTTTGGACTTTTGGTGTAGTTGTTTTTTTGAGAAACAGCTGCAGCTTTGGGTCATTTTCAACTACTGTATTCCCACAAGGAATCCCTAGATATTTATGTATCTTGATGTTTAGACACTTACTTAATGTGTTGATACTTTTTTATTATTTAAATGTGCTTATATTAAGAAAAATATCAAGTACTACATTTTTTGTTTTTGATAGTAGCCGGAGTTAATTGTATCACATTGAAGAAGGTTGGGAAAAAAAGGATGGGTAATGTGATCACTTGGTTATCTAAATATTGTTTACATTAAACTCCCTTTAATGTTAATCAAAGGAGTCAGTAGCTAATGCAGCCATGTTTTTATTAGGCTTTTTAGATACTGAGGGTCACTCCAAAGATCTGAAGTATGGAATTTTCTGCTAAGCTCAACAAAGGGTCTCATACCTGACTCCCTCCCTTCAAATCTGGTTCCAGAGGGTTGGGGTAGATGCCAACGATTGCACCTCTGGAGAGGATTTATTTTCTGCCTGGGGGGTTTGCTCACTCCATGGCCTCTTAATGTTAGGCATGCTTTGTAACAGAATGAGTCCAAAGTAAGCTGTGTGGAGAAATGGTATCCACATGGAAACCGAATGAATGAATTTAGGGGTTCCTTAATTGCTCCATTCTGGGGTAGGAAGGAGATCATCTGAACCCAGAGTTCAGATGTTCGTTCAGCTCCAAGGAGATATTCCTCTTTGATACTATACCTGTTGGTTGATGCAGAAGAAAGCTTGTGGCTGTCCCCCAAGGCTGGGAGTGGAAGGGACCGGATGCCTATGACAGCCAAGGTATCCAGGTCAGTTTTCATAGGGTGGGCCCAGAAGCAGGCCTGAACAAGCCAAACTCCCTCCACCTGCCTCAGTGAAGTCATGTGGGGAGGGTGTCATCCCACCCGTGCAGGACCCATCCCATGCTGCTCCTTCCCCACCCAGCTTTGTGTTGCTCTCATCAGGCTGAGACCCTACCCTGCAGGGTGTGTGCACTTTTGCTGGTGCATCAACATGACAGGAAAGATTCATGTCACTGCCCATGGCTACAATTCAAACATATCCAATGTCACTGTAAATTTTATGGCACTATTTTTATTGGAGGATTTGGTCACAAGGCAGTTGTTGTACAACTCATAAATACTAACTGCTGATTTTAACATATGTGTGCTCAAAATGATCTGGTGGTTATTTAATGTACCTCTTAAATTAGTTGAAATGATTTCAGGTCAACTCTGAAGAGTATTTGAAAGCAGGACTTCAGAACAGTGTTTGATTTTTTATTTTATAAATTTAAGGATTCAAATTAGAAAGATCTTTGGCTGCAGGCAGCAAAACAGCTGGTCTTATTTAAAACAACTTGTTTTTGAGTTTTCTTATATATATATATATGTATTGATTATTTGTTTTACACAGATGCAGTAGCACTTTGGTAAGAATTAAAGAGTAAAGCAGTTTGTGTTGTCAGATCGTTCTTATCTAGAAAAGAGCTAAAGCAGATCTTAGAGAAACTCAGAATATTCTATTTATTTTCATTTTAGACATAATTCTCCCTCCATAACTCATTTTCATGTTTTATTCTGTATTACATTTTTTGCAGCAAAATTACCCTTAAATGTCAGTAGATTTCAATTTTTTTAATATCTGAAAAGGACCATTAGCCCATTCACCCCAAATTGAACTTGTGTTCTTTTCAGCACATTGCCTTATCTGACCTGACAAAATGTTGATTAAAAAATGAAGGAAAGGTATATTTTTCAGTTCAGTTCTGGTACCTGAAGATATTCCAACTCAAAATCAACGTAATGCCCTACAAGGGAAATCATATAAATCTCTCACATTGAATCTTCACTTTCAAAGCCATGTGTGAGGAGAGCTTGTCACTTTGTTGTAGACCCAAGGGTTTGGCCATTCAGAGATTCACAGACCATTACCAGCATATATAGTATTTAATCTCTCCAGAAAGAAAAAGTTAAACCTTCATTGTTTTAGAGATAAGCCTCATACTTAATGCATTTTCTGCCCCTGAGGAATTCCATTCTACTGCCTTCAGGTAAATTGAGGTGGTCCTTTCATCAAGTAGACCCTTAAGCCAATAAAGTAATAACTGGATGTATCTGGGAGCATTGGTCCAGAAGAAAGATTAAATAAGCCATCTCTACTGCTTGTAAATGCCCTTATTTATAAGTTCAACATAGACACATATTTCTGTTCTTTTTGTTTTTCTCTCTAAAAATACTTACATTTTTCTTCCTCTCTGCCCCCACTAACACCTCCGTCTTTCTCTCTCCTTGTACCTCCTCTGTTCTCCAACTTTATATAAGGAAACAGCACGCACACCCGTCCCGACACCAAATGCAGGACTGGAGGAGCTGCCCTTTCCCTCTCTACATGAAAGAGCATAGTGAGTCAGCCTTTCTCCTGCCTGTGGGTTTCTTCCAGCAGAATGGAGAGCTTGCCAACATTTTGGATCTGCTTGCTGTCCGAGTGCAGCAATAGAAGCCTTCCTGGGCAAATTGCAATCAGTGAGTTAAGAGACAGACTTTCTGCTGCCTAGGGTTTCTGTGCAGATAAACAGAAATGCTCTGATTAGAAAGGAAATGAATGGTTTCACTCGAATGTCCTGCAATTTAGGATTGCCGATTTCTCTCTTGAAATACCTGTTTCCTTGGGACATTCCGTCCTGGTAATTTTTGATGTTTTTTTGTTTTCTGGGGGATGACATGTTTGGAGTCTTTTATACATGAGAACTCGGTTTAACAATGATTTCACAAAATATTTTTCACATCTGAACAAAATGATTTTTGTTTACCTGCAGTATACAATCTTTGGGGATTTTTTTTTTTTTTGGTCTATTTCTTTCTTTGGGGTTTTACTCTCCCTTTAGCCAGATCAGTATTGATGCTGATCATTTGGCTTTTTTTTTCCTTCCAGAAGAGTTGCATCAACAAAGTTAATTGTATTTATGTATGTAAATAGATTTTAAGCTTTCATTATAAAATATTGTTAATACCTGTAATAATTTTTTTCCAATTTTTGTGTGTGTTTCTAAGGATATTTTCTTATGTTTGCTAAATACTGTAGACAAAAAAATGCTTCTTTCTTTGTTTATTTTAGACTTAAAAACGAGCTACTTTTTATTCACTTTTGTAAAGAGCTAATAGCATGGTTCCAATTTTTTTTTAAGAAGTTCATTTTCTGTTATGGGTAAATGAATGTGCAAAAAAAAAACCTTGGTTATTTGTGATATTCTGGATGTATAAAAATCAATGGAAAAAAAATAAACTTCCAAATTGAAATGACAGTATATAACACATCTGTTGAAAACGTCATGATGAGCAACGGTCACTGCCTGCCTAGGCCCCACCTTGTGTCTATTTGTGTAGCAGTTTCTGGATCTATTCACAAAGCATGCTGGAAATTGTGTGGTTTCTTTCTTCCTGGTACTGACCTATGAACACTTTCTGCAAGCAACCCGTCAATCTTGAATTTTAAACGAGATGCATTATGAGCAAACACCCCAGAAACCCTTCTCCAAGGTGTTTCTAGGTAGCGCAGGAAAGCAGACACCCCATCATGCATGGTCCATTCACTGCATGAAATCTGACTGGCCATCCCCTCTGCCAGGCCGCTGGCCCAGCCTGTACAGGGCAGCCGGACTGCCGTTGCCTAGGAACCAATGGAGCCTTACTTTCTTTGCACCCCAGTTTATTGTGTAAATCCAATATTGTCATTGGCAAATGGCAAATAAACCATTTGGCAAGTATGCGTACCATATCACATTGGTTTCATCTTTCTCTGAGAAAGAGAGTGGGGAAGGGAAGGCCCCTTGCAAGTCTGGAAGCCAAGGTCTGTGCCTCCTCTCAGAGCGTCCTGCTCCTGAAGACACCATGGCCTTGGCACAGCCCAGGCTTCCAGGGCTGCTACTTTGGGTACCAAGGAACAGTGAAGCATGCAGAAATGCCTGTTCTGAAAAAGAAAGAAGATACAAGATGAAAGGGCATATGTTCAACCTGAGGCCAGGCACCCTTGCATGCCTGCGTGCTAAGTCATTTAAGTCGTGTCCCACTCTGTGTGACCCTGTGGACTGTAGCCCACCAGGCTCCTCTGTCCATGGGACTCTCCAGGCAAGGAGAGTGGAGTGGGTTGCCGTGCCCTCCTCCAGGGGATCTTCCCAACCCAGGGGTCGAACCCATGTCTCATGTCTCCAGCATTGGCAGGCAGGTTCTTTACGACTAGCGCCACCTGGGAAGCTTCCCAGGTACCCTTACCTGCCCCCATTTCTGTAAATTACACAAGTCAGCCTTGATGACTGGGATGAGGAGTTGCTTATAAGGATTCCACTTACCACCACCCCTGTG